GGCAAAAACTAACTAGGTCTGACAATGCAGGCAATTCCATTCTTTCATTTTCCTATTAAAATTTTTTTTTTCATTATACAAAGAATACAAAAGGATTGTTTAAAAAACTTTACTACTTTTCTCCTGAAAGGAGAGTATGCCTCTTCTTTTTTCTGGGCTGGAGATTACTCTTTGAATAGCATTTTAATGTTATTACTTTCATTATGGATATTTTCCTCTTGGTCCTACTCTTTAAGTCCCATCTCTATTTTCTATACATTGGGTGAATTGTGGAACACTACAATTTCAGAAGAATGAAAAACACAAATGACTTCAAGTCAATGGGTAAGTGCTTGGTGAGTATACGGAAGATGCAGCCTATTATCAATGTGTAAGAAATGCTGTAAAAAAGAATGGAGACATGGTGTAGTAATTGACCAATAATAATTGACGTACGTACAAAGTGTGACACTGGTAGGTATAAAAATTAGAAGATTTCAAGGAAGGATTCTAGGTTAGATGCCCTTGGGAGGACTTAAGGACATGAAATAAAAATCACATAGGATGAAAAGTCATGGATGGTGTGCTGGGAGTGTCCAGATCAATGAAATAAATCCATTAATTAGTATTTCAATAAAGTCTTAAAAGTTAATTAATGTTAAATATTGCTGATGGCTCTAAGAGGGCAAAAGAGAGGGGTAGGGATATGAGACAAACTCAGGTGACGTAAAAATAAAATATATCAATAGAATTTTTTAAACATTTAATATTGATTAGATTTCAATGTAATTCTAGAAGTAGAAGTAGTACCACCTAATAACAAAGTAGGGACTGCAACTCCATGATTTAGTTTGCTGCTTTAGTTTTTTAAATAAAAGAAACAGATAAAACAGATTTTCATAATTAGAGGCAATTTTTAAAAGAATTTGGTTTATAACATTTTAATATGAAGAAAGCCATCATTTTTATATGGAGAAGATTCTCTCATTAAACAATTTTTATAATCTTTAAAGAAGCAATCAGGCCATAAGAAAATTGTAGGTTAAGTGACTTGACCAAAGTCAGTTGGTGATTGAGTTGGGATTAGAATCCAGGCTTCTGACTTTCATACTCTGACCACTAAAGCATGCTGCAATATAGATAGCTAAGAGTGGAAAGCCAATGTATGTAGAACATTTTAGGTTTCACTTTGCACCTACATTTGTTCTAGGTTTCCAACTTCTTTTTGAGGAAGAACTACTTTTTATTTCTTTGGGAATTCCCACTTGGAGATGAAATAGACAATGGTAGAGTAGTCGAAAGCAGACCATGCACTTTATTCACTGAACCACCTAGCAGTCTAGGCATATAGTAGGCACTTAATGATTGCTGGCTGGTGTTGAAGCTTGAGGGCTGACAGATGAATCCTCCAGGGCAGTACAGTGTAATTAAAAGGACATCTTTATGACAGCATTTAGAGAACAAAGCGCATAGAGTGCTGGGCTTGGAGTTAGGAAGAGTGTGAATCCTCTTTCAGACACTTACTAGTTGTTTTACCTTGGGCCCTTAACCTCTCTGTGCCTCACTTATCGGTAAAATGGGGATACAAATAATCCCTACCTTCCAGGGTTACTGTAAAGATCAAATGAGAGAACATATAAAAGCACTGGGTAAACCTTCAAGTGCTCTGTGTTAGCTATTATTGTTATTATTATTATTAGTAATCCTAGCTGTGCCATAAGCTACCTACATGACTACAGTCAACATATTCATTTCTCTCAGCCTCAGTTTCCTAAACTGTAAGATGAAGTTGAACTATATGATCACTAAGGGCCCAACTTTGAGTATTAAAGACTTAGAGGATAACTCTAGTTATTATTACTAACTTGTAGATTGTAATGGACAAGTCAAGGAGTCCTAAATTAGCACATGTATTCCCTGACTATTGCATTCCTCACAGTAGGTACACCAAATTTTTTCTTTCTTCTAGATTCCTATACCATCCTCCTCTCCCATCTTTTCAGCCAAGGCCCTTGTTCACATTTTACTGAGAAAAGTAGTAATAGTAGATAGTAATTATATAGTGCTTTAAGGTGTGCAAAGTGCGTTACAAACATCTCATTTGATCCTCACAAGAACCCTGAGGGGGCAGCTAGGTGGAGCAGTGGATATAAAGCAGTGGCCCTGGGAGTCAGGAGGACCAGAGTTCAAATGCAGCCTCTGACCCTTACTAGCTGTGTGACCCTAGGCAAGTCACTTAACCCCACTGCCTCCAAAAACAAACCCAAGAACCCTAGAGGTAGGTGCTATGTTTATCCTCATTTTCTGATAAATTGAGGTAGACAAATTAAGTGACTTGCCTAGGATAATATTTCTAGTGAGAGTTTGAGGCTGGATTTGAACTGGGTCTTCCTCATTCCAGGACTCTATCCCCTGTGATATCCAGCTGCCCCCATTTGGCCATTAAAATACCTGTTTACATTTCAAAAACTCCTTACTTCTCTTCTCTCTGCCTTTACTCCAGTTTCTTCTGAAGAGGTGGTCCGTGGCAAGGCCAACCCCTGTTAACACATACTCTGATTCCACCTGCAGTTTTCTCCATCCACCAGCTCCCACACATCATCTGACCTTTTTAAATTTCACCATCTATATGTGATTGGCCTTCCTTGTTGCCTACGAACAAGCCCAGATCTCTCTTATGCTTAAAAACTTTGACTTGACCATACTGCTCCCTCAAATATCATCCTGCTGACTGACCACTCATTTTTGTCTTGGTATTGTCTTTGTTTTTGTGTTGTTGGTGCCTAGCACAGTGCTTCAAATAAAGTAGCTGGCTAATTGTGTATCAATGATAGATTGTTACTTTAAATTCCCTCGTTTTGGCCCTATCACATTTTTACTATCAAAAGTTGTCTACCTGGAACAGTCAGTTAATTCAAGCAGTCTATTCTGTGGAAAAGAAACATTTTAAAATCAAAGCGTACTGAGCCTTTTGACAGAATTAAAACATTTTCAGTTGATCAGGTAATTAAGCATTTATCAAATACTGTGTGCCAGGTAATGTGCTAAATGTTGAGGATACAAAGGTAAAAATAGACTCTACCTTCAGGAAGCTTACATGCTAATGGAGGATAAAACACGTAAACAAATACGTACATATAAGATACAAAAGTATAAGGAAGGTAATTTTAGAGGATAAAGTTCAACATGAATTGTAATTTCAACCACTTGGATTAGCAAAGTAGCAAATGGTATAATGGAAACAACTGTGATTTTGAAGCCAAAGGGCCTGAATTCAAATGCCGACTGCTACTTACTGCCTATCTGAATGACCTTGGGGAAAAGAAGCACTTAATCTTTAAAAAATGAGAGAGTTCTCTTCGATGATCCTTACCATCCCTTCTATCTCCAAATACATGATTATCATATAGAAATACAGCTGTATATATGATTCTTAGTGCTTTCCAAAGGTGGCCTTTGCTGGCCTTGGTAGAATAAATAACGAGAAAAATTGCTAAAAACTACTGATACATTCACATATATATGTATACACATATAGTTGTAGAAATTAACTGCTACAACTAAGAATCAGATTTACTTGATTTGATGGATAGCAGCGTTTTCCTCATGTTGACACTTGGCAAGTATAGGTTCTTTCACTGTAGGAATGGCTTAACAATTCAAAAAGCCACAAGGCTTTCCCGGCTCCAGTCAGTCTTCCACTCATTTGTGAGATTATTCTTTCTAAAGCGTATATATAAGTCACCCCCACACAAAATGGGGAAAGGGAGATTAACTTCTGCAGTGGCTCCATGTCACCTTCAGGATCAAACAGAAAATCTGTTCAAAGCCTTTCACAACCTGGCCACCTACTACAATTCCAGTCTTTTTACATCTTACTCTGGTCCCCCTCTCCCCAGATCTGATCCAGTGACGCTGACCTACTTGGTGTTCCTTACACAAGACACTCCATTTCTTAGCCTGGAGCATTTTCTCTGGCTGTGTTCCAAGCCTGGAATGCCCTCCTTCCTCATCTCTGCCTACTGGCTAAAATCCTAGCTAAAAATCTCATCCACGAGAAGCCTTTCCCGAGCCTCCTTAATGTTGGTGTCTTCCCTCTACGGAATATCTCCAATTTATCCCGTACATATTTTTTAAAATGTGATTTTTTGCATGTAGTCAACCCTTTCCCCCATTAGATTGTGAATGTCTCTTACCTTTATTTGTATCCCGAGTTTTAGCACAGTGCCTGCACATAGTAGGCGCCCAAGAAATGCTTTCTGACTTGACCTAGCAAGACCTGGATAAATTGTTGAATTAAGACCTTGATTCCCGATCCAGGTGCCTATTCCCTGCTACCTGCTGCTCACTGCAGCTTTATGTGGACTTGCGAGGGACGAGGTGGTGTGAATCGTGTGCCTCTAAAGTATTTTAAAATACTTCTTAGCCTGAAATTACTCGTCGGTTTAAATATTCTCAATGACAAGCTGCCACAAGGGTGCGGAAGGCACAATTAGGGAACTCATGGCTTTAAATGCAACTCTTACCTACCCAGTAAAATTTTGCAAAATACTACCTCCCGAACCCTCTTACTACAATAGCACTATTTACGGAGGTGGGGGCGGGGGGAAGAGGGGTTTCTAAGCATCGCCGGATTTGGTGAGCAAAGTTTACACTGTCCATTAGGACCAGAATAGCAGGCATCCCAACGCACCCCACTCGGACGAAAAACGTCCGAAACGTGAGCCACTAAACAACGGAGGGAGACAGCGGCCAGCCCAAGGCCGCGCTGCCAGCGGAAGGGTCATCGGATAACGCCCGGCGCGTGAGGTGAGGCTGGGTGTGGCTGCAGCGGCAGGAGACCCAATTGAACTGTGGGGGCGGCGGGTAAGGAAGACCGGCCAACTCCCGAGGCTCTCGGGACACTCGAGGTTGCTCCGAGGGAGCAGAAAGAGCGAGCGTGACCATACGAGTTTTAAATTAGGTCCAGCGATCAAACAGCCCACTGCGGACCTACCTCGGGAAAGTGACCCTCGCAGTGCGCGGCTGGACTTCCCATTGGCCTCCCGAATTGAACACCCGCCTTCCCAGGGGCGGGACAAAGCGCCTCTGCCCACGCCCGGATTTTTGATTGGCAGGTAAGGCCGCCCAATGGTGGGCAGGAGGCCGCGGGTCGGTCCAATACGAAAGGCATTAGATCGCGGCGCGCGGAGTTTGAGTCTCGCTCGTTGGCGACGCTCGCTGCCGCTGGGAGGACGGGGCGTGACCGCGGCGGCTGGGTCGGAGGACGGACTCGAGGCTGGACAGTTGGTTGATGCGAGGGCGGGCGCCAGGTTCCCGGGGGCCTCTGGAGGGGCCGAGCGGAGCGAGAGGTGAGTGAGGCGGGCAGTGCCCGGGGAGGCCCGGCTTTCTGCCGCCTCTTTCCCCGGGGTGTTCACCAAGCCCCGGAAGCCGAGGCCCGGGGCAGAGAAACGGGGAAGCGGAGGAGGGTCTGGGCCGCGACCCGAGGCCAACCCGGTGTTCCCAGATCGACCACTAACGTGGCCTTGGATCTCCCTCCTGCCTCGGTTTCCTCTTCCTCTTCGTTAGAATGACCTCGATTAAATTAACCACGGTACTCCTTTATTCTCGAGTCTTCATGACGCCATTTGCGGCATTCTTGACAAAGATAGTGGAGTGGTCTGCCATTTCTTTCTCCAGCTCATTTTACAGATGAGGAAACTGAGGCAATCACAGTTAAGTGACTTGCCCAGGGTCACAAAACTAGTGAAAGGCCTTAGATCCATTAGTGTCTTAGGTCGAGTTCGGATTGGAACTCGGGTCCCCTGGATCCGCTGCTTCACCTAGTTGCCCATGAGTCAGAAGACAAGTTCAAATCCAGTTCCAGAAGGTTGCTAGCAGTGTCCCAGGCCTGCCTCTGTTTCTCTGCTCTGGGGTTACAGTTAATGAAAAGACTGTGCCTGCCCTCTAGGAGCTTACAATCCAATACTGTTTAAATGGTCGCAAGCCCTCACACCCGGAGCTAGTACTAACTGAACTCCGCATGCATCCCAAACAACTATTGTTTAAAAATGCTGACTGGAGAGCTCTGGCCTTGGAGTCAGGAGGATCTGAGTTCAAATTCGGCCCCAAACACTTTACACTTACTAGCTGTGTGACCTTGGGCAAGTCACTTAACCGTGATTGCCCCACCAGAAAAGCAAAAGAAAAAAATGTCAACTAGAGTAGGCACTTAACTAGTGTTTGTTTACTGCACGAGTAAACTACTTTATTTGTATTGCTGTGACTCTGGAAGACAAAAGTTGTTAGGGTTGTTCTCCCCATCGGCTTGATAAGTTTACTTGAATAAGCCTTTGTTCAGAACTTTAATTGGTTTACTTAACTTAAACACCAGCAAAACTATAATCGTATTTCGCAGGCCCCACCCTAAATGAATTGACATTCTGTCTCAGAGACCAAAAAAAAAAAAAATACCAAGTTGGGAGGAGGGTCAGCATTAGCAGCTCTTGGTATCCAGAAGAGCATTAAGAAGGTGGCATTTCAGCTAAGCTTTGAAGGAAACTAGATATTCTAAGGGGCAGTAATGAGGAAGAAGTGAATTCTGAACATGATAGATAAAAGGAAAGGAGAGGAGGACATGTGGTATGGTAAGTGAAGAACAGCAAGAAGGCCATTTTTCTGGATGATGTAATAATTTTGGTTGGGGACAGGTTTAAAGGTCTTTCAAGGCCAGAAGTTTATATTTGGCTCTAGAAGTAATAGCCCCTGGAATTGGAGTGTGTGGAGTGAAGAAAATCACTTTGGCAACTTGATAGGGATTGGAAAGCAGAGAGACTTGAGGCCAATTGGGAGGTCTCTTGTTTAAATAAGAGGTGATGAGGGCTTGAACTTGGAAGGTGGACACATGCCTCGATGAGAGGGGTGTTGTGTAGAGTCACAGACAAGATTTGGCAAATAATTGACTGCCTGGGAGGTGTAGAGTGAGGAGTAAAAGTGACTGAAATGACTGAGCTTTCAAACCTGGATGAGTGGAAGGAAGGTGAAACCCTCAGCTGAAATGGGGAAATCTGTAAAGAGGGAGGATTGCTAGGAAAGATAAATTCGTTGTTTTTCCTATGTTGAGTTTGAGATATTTATGAGACAACAATAAGCAGTTGATGATGCAGAGCTGAAAGTCAGGAGAGACACTCAAATAGTTTAAAACTGCACTAAGACTTTTGGGACACTGTAGATTTAGAATTTAGCCACATAGAGATGATAATTCAACATATATGAATTGATGAAGTCAAGGCTAGAGTGCGCGTAGAGAGTTGCACCTAGCCTTTCGGTGTATACACAGGGGTTGTGATGTGGATACTGATCTAACAAAAGAGACTGAGAAGGATTGGTCAGGCAGGAGGAAAACCAACAGAGACTAATTTCATGAAAACCCAAACAGGAGAGAGTATCCCTTCAGGTGGATAGGATAATTAACAGTATCAAATGGTGCACAGAGGTAAAGAGTGAAGATGAGAGACCAGAAGATATGTTGCTTAAGAGATAACTGGTGATTTTGGAATGCAGTTTTAGTGGAGTGATGAAGTTGAAAGCAACAGAAGGTTGAGGAAGAAATGTAGTTAAGGAAAATATTTAGCTTTTTCTCAGTTTGGCCATGATAAGGAGGAGACACAATTGATGGAGGGAATGTTAAGATCAAGTGAGAGTTTTTAAAGGATTGGAGGGACTTGGATTTGTTTGTAGACATTAGGGAAAAAACTAGATTACTTTGTACATTTATAAACACAGTAATTTTTTGTAGGGAGGGCAAAGCACTAACAGGGCTTTTTACAGTGGTGGCATTTTAGCTGATCTTTGATGGAAGCTAGGGTTGCACTCCCAGAAGAGGACGTAAGAAAGGATTGTATTTCAGCTCTACAGTGCAGCCTGTGCTAGGCAGAGGTGAGGGGCAGAATGGCCTGCTATGGGAAACAGCAAATAGGCCACTTGCCAGGGAGGTCAATTAGGACACTAGGTGTGGGGGAGTAATCACCTGGAGAGACACTTTTGAGAATATGAAGAGCTTCGGATGACAAATAGAGGACCTGAAGTCAGTAGGGAGCCTCCAGATATTACTGAACTGGAGAGTGTTAGGTGGCTTAACAAGAAAATTCCAGTGACCTAGTCTTGGAAAGCCTGAAAGTAAATAAATCATATACCCAAGTAAAAGGTCTAAATTTGAAATGGTTCAGCACGAAAATAATTAGTACATTAGCAAAACCTTATTTAGACTTTAAAAACTTCCTAATAATTAGAGCTATCTGAAAGTGTGATGAGGTTGTCTCTGGAAGGTCTTTAGTGATTATCTGGATGACTGTTGTTGTTAGGTTGTAGAATTGACACTTGTTCGTATGAGTTGGACCAGATGGCCTTTAAGGCCTCTTCCAACTCAGAGGTCATTGATTCTGTACATTCAATAGTAGTGAGAGCTAATGGAAGTTCTAGGGGTTTGCAGACCCTTGGCTACATAAGTTCCAATTAAAATATAATTCTCAGTTTGAACACATCACCACTAAGAGAGTAAATTTACCTTCTTTCTGGCACATTTCTTCCAATAACCTTTTTCCTTCCAGAATAAATAATTCTCTTTGAGGACAGAGTTGTTGGTGTTGCCTTTGGGTGCCTGCTTCATGTTCTTTAACCAATTTCTGTGCCAGTTTCTTTCTCCTATAAAGGTGTGAAGTCTCAAATTTTTCCACATCTGATGTATTTGTCCTTTTTATTTTCATTTTGAATAATATTTTCCAAATTTTTTCCTGAGTCCATTGTTTTATTGAACTTATATTCTACCATTTCAGTGTCAATGTCTCTCATGTTGAATCTCCTCAGGCAGCTCCTGGAATATTTTGGCATCCCCAGAGAACAGGTAATATATTTTCCCAGACAAATTACCTCATTGCACCTGTCTTCAAGTTGTTTTAGATAAATTTAAAATATAAACATTTAGTTTAAGGCAACATTTAAATTTCTCGTTAGGTAGGAAGGATGCACATTGCTTGGTATGTAATTTTTTGAGATAATGATCAATATGTCAGGTTTTCACTTCTTCTGCCCCTTCATGCAACAAGCACTGAAGTGTCCCAAACTGCTAGCTTCATCTGTTAGCACAGAAAAGACTAAGTTAAAGAACAAAGATACCATTGAGGAATTTTTATGAGATAGCTGGGTCAAAAAAATTATATCTATAGATCTGTGTCTATATTTATATAGATACAGATCTATAGATATATATGACAATATGTAAGCAATTATGAGATTTGTATTTATTATGTACACTAAACTGAATACATTTAGAAAAGTTCTTTGAAGGGGAGGGTTGATTGAGATACGGTAATAACATGGGCAAAGGCGTTTTGATGTCATTTGACTATCAGCAGTGATTTATTGAGTACCTTCTGTTCTAAGTAAGCATGTGATTCAGAAAATTGTAAGACAGTCATGGTCCTTAAAGAGCTTACGGTCTAGTAAAGATTGCAAAGCTAATAATCAGTCAATCAGCAAGCATGTATAAAGTGCCTACTTTATGCTGGGACAGAGAAGATATATTTTCTGTTCTCAATGAGCTTATATTTTTCATGGGGTCATGTGCATATATACAAGTATATATAAAATAAGGTAATTTTGCTGACCAGATCATAAATCTCTAAGGAGATCAGGAAGGAGTTCACATAGGAGGCAGTACTTGACCATAGGATCGTGGATTTAGAGCTATATGGGACCTTAGAAGCATCTTGTCAAAACCCCTCATTTTACCCATGAGGAAACTGAAGCCTACAGTTTTAAGTGACTTGCCAAGGTCACATAGGGAACAAGTGCCACAGGGATGTTTGAACCTTGTTCTGACCCTCAAACTATTTCATTTCTTGACCTTGAGCTGAACCTTGAAGGAAACTAGGAATTTCAAGAAGCAGAAATAAAGAGGAAATGCATTCTTGGTACCTTAGTGACTTAGTGAATATGGTGCTGGACCTAGAGTCCAGAAGCATTGCCTCAGGGCTTCATATCCTGCCTCAGTAGCTTACTGTGTGACCTGAGCAAGTCTCTTAACCTCTGCTTGCCTCAGTTTTTTAGAGGGTAGAATGGGGATAATAGCCCCTAGCTCATAGAGTTGTTTTGGTGATCAATGAGGTAGTATTTCTAAAGCATTGACCACAGTGCCTGGCACGTAGTAGCTGTTTAATAAATGTTTGTTCCCTCCGCATTTTCATACATAGGATTTATTTGGGGTATTTGGTAAACATGTCTTCCAAAATGATAATTGTCTATTACCATGATAATATGTCTGTTTTTTTTCTTGGGGCTTTGGAAACAGTTTACACCAATATGGGAAGCTCATGCAAATGGTCGAAGTATTGTTCGAGTCATAGTGACACGTTTATCTTCAAATCTCTTTTCAAGAGCTGACTTGTACCAGTTATGGGCCACTGTAAGTAAATATTAGCTTTTTTCACTCTGTTAGTGGCCAGAAGGTCTTTCTGGACTATTATTCAGTTTTCTCTTTGTTCCTTTGTTTATATGTAATTTTATTTTATTTTAATTTTTTTAAATTTTATTTTTATTTTCAGTTCTAAATTCTCTCCCCCCTTCCACTCCTCTCTTACCCACTGAGAAGGCAAGAAATATGATAGCCTTTATACATAAGAAATCATGAAAATATTTCTACATTAGCCACATTATGATGAAAAGAAGTAAGAAAGATAAAAGAATGAGAAAAAAAAAATAGGCTCTAATTTGCACTCAGAGTTCCATCAGTTCTGTCTGGAGGTGGATAGCATTTTTCATCCTGAGTTCTTTGGAATTGTTGTGGATCATGTATTGACCAGAGTAGCCAGGTCTTCCACAGTTGATCATCATTACAACATTGCAGTTACTATGCACAATATTCTTTTATTGCTGCTCACTTCACTTTGCATCAGTTCACATAAGTCTTCCTCAGTTTTTCAGAAACAATCCCCTTCATCATTTTTACATCACAAAAGTATTCCATCACCAATCATATACCACAGTTTATTCAGCCATTCCCCAATTGAAGGGCATGCATCTCCTCAATTTCCAATTCTTTGTTACCATGGAAAGAATTACTATAAAATTTTTGTACAGGTAGGTCCTTTCCCTTTTCTTAAATCCATTTGGGATACAGACTTAGTAGTGGTATTTCTAAGTCCAAGGGTATGCACAATTTTATAGTCCTTTGTTCTTAGTTGCAAATTGTTCTCCAGAATGGTTGGACCAGTTCACAGGTCCACCAACAGTACACCTACATCCCCATCCGAATTTGTCATTTTTCCTTTTCTGTCATGTCAGACAACCTGATCGGTATGAGGTGGTACCTCAGAGATGTTTTAATTTCCGTTTCTGTAATTACTAATAATTTAGAGCATTTTTTCATATGGGTATTGATAGCTTTTATTTCTTGTTTTGAAAACTGCCTGTTCACATCCTTTGACCATTTATCAATTAGGGAATGGCTTATTTTTATAAATTTGGCTTAGTTCTCTCTATGTCTGAGAAAGATGCTCTTTATCAGAGAAACTTGATGTAAATTTTTTTCCCAGTTTCCCTCTTTTAATTTTCACTGCATAAATTTTCTTTGGGCAAAATTTTTTAAATTTAATGTAATCAAAATTATCTGTTTTACTTTCCACGAGCCTCTCTCTCTTTTTTGGTCATAAACTCTCCTTTATCCATAGATCTGATAGGTAGTTTTTTCATGCTCCCTTAATTTACTTAAGATATCAACCTTTATTTCCAAATCATTTACCCATTTTAAGCTTATCTTGGAATATGTTGTGAGATATTGGTCTCTACCTAGTTTCTGTATATATATAATTTTTTTTATTGCTATCTAGATTACTTGCTGTTTGTATGTTAAGTAGAATTTTTTATAGCCCATTTGTCAGACTTGTAATTTGATTTTTGAGATTAGTAGAAATAGAACAAAATAAACAAACCAGTTCTTTTTTATAAAGTTTTCCTGGTCCTGTCATAAGTAAATGATTTTGTAATTATTGCCTAAACAATTTTTTTGGCGTTCTCCTGTAACTGCCCTTGGCACCACCCCATCCCCCTGGTTTTTTGGGGAGGGCAGTGGGGGAAATAACATGATTTCTTGGAATAAGTTTAAAGAATACTTTTATATTCTCTTACATATGTTAATATATATAAAAATTTTTGACAAATACTTCATGATATAATTGTGGAAAATATGATTTGTAAGCTGGTGATAGAAAAAAAAAAGGTAACTGATTAAGTGGTTGAAAGACCATACCTGTAGCATACTGACTAATGGATCAGTATCAGCCTGACTGACAATCTCTGTTAAAATGTTTCTGGGCTTTCTCCTTGGCTTTATCTTGATAGTTATTTTTATTAGTAACTTAGGTAAGAAAATAGATGCTATTAAATTTGCAGATAACACAAAGCTAATACATTAGATGATAGACTAGAATAATGGGGGCAAGTATAGGAAATCAAATTTAATAGGAATAAATGTAAACCTTTACAATTTATAAGTTTTTTTGGTGCTAGTACAGAAAGAAACGTAGCTAGAAAGTAGTTCATGTGAAGAAAATTTATGGGTTTTATAAAGTCCATTCCAACTCTACAGGCTTCAGTTTAAGGTACTTTTTGTATGTGTTGATGACACTAGATTTTAAATCAGTTTTCCAAAATAAATGTTTAAATACGTTTTTACGTTTAAATAGATTTTATCAATATGGGAAAATAAGGAATATGGATCTACTCGAAGTGTTGTTCGTAGCATTGGGAAAATTCTTCCTTTAGAACCTTGTCCAAGGCCTAACTTTGAGGTAAGTCAGTTATTCGTTGTTTGATTAACCATACTAAGTTCTGCTAAGGGCGAAGTGGAGGGGGTAGGGATAGTAGAGAAATGGAAAAAATAGCCCTTGCTCCTAGTGAATTTAAAATCTTAATTTGGAAAACAAGTCATTTTACTTTTGAACTGAGGTGAACTTTTTATCTTTTTTCCCAAATGCACTCCTTGGAGCTTCACTCTCACAGTAACAGTTGCCTACCAGACATTTCAAACTGGAAGTCCTGGAGGCATCTCAAAAACTGACCTCATTATCTTTCTTCCAAAAAATTTTCCACTTATCTAAAGTTTCTTGTCAAATGTGTCACCATCCTTCTCAGGTTCATATTGAAAATCTTGACATTATTCTCAACTTTTTTCCCTCCCTCATCCCATCTATATCCAAATCAGTTGAGCCACAACTTTTCTCACATCAGACCCCTTCCCTGTACTGCTTTATCTTAATGCTGGCCTTACTACCCCTTGCCCCGCTTTTTCTGTCTATTCTGAACTTCAGTACCAATAAAAAGAGCATTTCCTTAAACAGGATTACTTAGGAAATCTTGAATCTCAGTGTCGTAGCTGTTACTTTTAAAATGGTCCTTCTTGACTGTGCTTTGTTCTGAACTTCCTTTTCCCTTTTGTATATTTTAAAAATGTTTCACTAGCTTTATTTTTGTGCCCGTCTACTCACACTAATCTCTTTGCCACTGCTTTTTTATTGGTTCTGTTTATAAAGTGTTATATAAACTCTGTTTAGCTTTTTTTTTTTCATTTAATATTTTATTTTTTTTCCCAATTACATGTAAAAATAATTTTAACATTCTTTTTTCAAATTTTGAGTTACAAATTCTCTCCCTCCCTTCCCTCCCCCCCATTAAGAAGGCAAGCAATTTGCATGCATGTGTAGTCATACAAAACATATTTCCATGTGAGTCATGCTGTGAAACAAAACAAGGACAAAAAAACCGCAAGAAAAACAAAGTAAAGGAAAAGGATTTTTGATTTGCATTTGGGCTGTACCAGTTTTTTCTCTGGAGATGGACAGTACCTTTCATCTGTAGTCTTCCAGAATTGCCTTGGATCATTGTATAGCTGAGAATAGCTAAGTTATTCACAGTAGTTCATCATACAGTGTTGCTGTTACTGTGTCCAATGTTCTTCTGGTTCTCCTCATTTCATTTTGATTCACTTCATGTAAGTATTTCCGGATTTTTCTGAGAGTGTCCTATTTGTCGTTTCTTATAGCACAATAATATTCCATCACAATTGTATACAACAACTTGTCCAGCCAGTCCTAATTGATGGGCGTCGCCTTAGTTTTCAATTCTTTGCCACCACAGAAAGAGCTGTTATAAATATTTTTGTACATATAGGTCCTTTTCCTTTTTGTTTTTTAACTCTTTGGGATACAGACCTAGTAGTGGTATTATTGGTCAAAGGATATATGTGGTTTTATAGCCCTTTAGGTATAGTTCCAAATTGCCCTCCAGAATGGTTGAATCAGTATACAACTTCACCAGTAGAGCATTATAGTTTTATTTTTCTCACATCCCTCCAACGTTTGTCATTTTCCTTTTCTGTCATATTAGCCAATCTTTAAATTTGACTCAGTTTTCTATATATTTGAGAAATGAGGTCTTTACCTCCACAAATCTGCCCTCCTTTCTATTAGCACCCTTCCCACTCTTTCTCTCCTCCTTCCCCCCATTTATTTCCCCTCCTACTTTCCTGTATCGTAAGATAGATTTCTACAACCAACTGAGTGTGTATATGTTATTCCCTCTTTGAGTCAATTCCAGTAAGATTTACTCGCTATCTACCTACCCTTCCTCCATCTTCCCCTCCACTATAAAATCTCTTCCAGGATTCTTTTATGTTGGATAATTTGTTCCTTCTACCTTTCCCTTTTCCTTCTCCCAGTTCATTCTTCTTTCTCACCCCTTAATTTTATTTTTAAAAATAACCATCCCATCATATTCAACTTATACCTGTGCTTTCTTTCTATGTATACTTCTAACTGTTAAATAGTAATAAAATTTTAGGAGTTAAAAGTTTCGTTTTCCCATGTAAGAATGTAAACAGTTTAACCTTATTGAATCCCTTATGATTTCTCTTTACTGTTTATCTTTTTATACTTCTTTTGAGCCTTATGTTTGAAAGTAATATTTTCTATCCAACTCTGATCTTTTCATCTGGAATGCTTGAAAGTCCTCTATTTCATTGAATATCCATGTTTTACCCTGAAGGATTGTACTCAGTTTTACAGGGTAGTTGATTCCTAGTTCCTTTGCCCTCCAGAATATTATATCCAAAGCACTCTGATTCTTTAATGTAGAAATTGCTAAGTCTTGTGTTATCCCGACTGTGGCTCTATGATATTTGAATTGTTTCTTTTTGGCTGCTTGTAATATTTTCTCCTTGATGTGGGAAGATTTGGAATTTGGCTATAATATTCCTGGAAGTTTTCATTTTTGAGGATTCTTTCAATTTTTAATTTTAACCAGGTCAGTTTTCCTTGATAATTTCTTGAATATCTAGACTCCTTTTTTTTTTTTTTTGTCATGGCTTTAAAGTAGTCCAATAATTCTTAAATTATCACTCCTGAATCTATTTTCCGGGTCAGTTGTTTTTCCAATGAGATACTTCACATTTTCTTCATCCTTTTGATTTTGTTTTATTGTTTCTTGATGTCTCATAAAATCATTAGTTTCCATTTGACCAGTTCTGCTTTTTAAGGCATTCTTCTCTTTGTTGGATTTTTGTGCCTCTTTTACCATTGGTCTGTTCTGTTTTTTAGGGTGTTGTTTTCTTCACTACTTTTTTTGTCCCTCCTTTACCAAGCTTTTGACTCTTTCTTCGTGATTTTCTTGTATCACTCTCATCTCTCTTCCCAATTTTTCCTCTACCTCACTTACTTGATTTTTAAAAATCTTTTTGAGCTCTTCCATGACCTTGGGGCAATTCATATTTTTCTTTGAGGCTTTGGATGTGGGAGTTTTGACTTTGTTGTCTTCTTCTGAGTTTGTATTTTGATCTTCATGTCACCATAGTAACATTCTATAGTCCAGGATCATCTTCTGCTGTTTGCTCACTTTTCAGCCTATTTCTTGACTTTTAAGTATGCTAAAATGGGACTGTGCTTCCAGAGTGGAGGGGCACTATCACAATCTTCAGGTTTTTTGTGCAGCTATTTTCAGAGGTAAATATGGGGACTTGTATGTAAGTTTTTGGTTCTTCCAAGGTGGTATGTGGGAGAGATGTGTTTACTGCCCTCCTGTAATGTGCTTGTCTTTGAGCGACCACAAGCGCTCTTTCCACCCTGGAACTGTGACCAGGGTCCTCGCTCCCCTGAAGCCACAAGCTCTGGTGTGCTAATGCTCCTCCTTGCCCCAGATCCAAGTGTGGACAATGTGATAGAGCCCCCAATGCCAGCAGAGGGACCCCTTTAATCTCCTTCTGATCAATTGTTCAACCCCCTTACCCTCTGTGGACTGAGAGGTCAGAAACTGCCAATGTGGTCACTGATTCAGTTGCCCCCCAAGGCCTGCTCCTGGTTTGCTGGGGCCTGGTCTGCACTGGCATAGCCTGCACTGGACTGTGTCCCATTCTCAACCTGGGGCAACACACCTTTGCTGCCAGACTTCTCAGTTGTTTTGGGTTGGAAAATTGTTTCAGTCCATCCTTTTGTCAGTTCTGCTGCTCTGGGATTTGTTTTGAAGCATGATTTAAAGGTGTTTGAAGAGGTTTAGGGGAGAATAGGAGAGTCCCTGCCTTTTCTCTATCATCTTGGCTCCGCCTTCTGTTGAGCTTTCAAATCTCTTCACAGCCTAGTCCCCTCCTATCTTTCCTTCTTCATTAAATATTGCTCTGCTTCCTACACTTTTTCTACTCCATGAAACTGCCTTTCTCTCTGTGAGATTCCATTTCCCATCTGTGGACCTTTACATTGGCAGACTCATGTGCCTGGTATGCACTCCTTCCCTATATCTGCCTCACAAAGTCCTTTTTTTTGCTTTATTATTTAGTTCCCTCCTCTTCATATTATATTACCCTGATGCCTATCTTGTGAAAAGGTGGCTTTTCTTGTCAAGGCAAATCCCTTTTGTGTGCATCCTTCCTTCTACCCTAGCCCAGTCTAACACAGCACAGGATAGCCAAACCCATTCCATTTTCTCCAACAGATTGGCCCTTTTATTTTCTTAAATCTCTGTCAGTCTTCTGGCTCCTTCCCTGTTGCCTGCAAGCATGCTCACATCTCCTTTTCCTTAAAAAACCTTCACTTGATCTTAGAATTGCTTTCTTTCTAGCTCTTTTCCCTTTCATCTGCTAAATTCCTTGAGAAAGCCTGGTGCCTCTACTTATCTCATTCTCTTCTATCTGCCATCTGCCTTTCAGTATCATTGTTCTACTGAAACTGTTCTCTAAAAAGTCACCAGTGAACCCTTAGTTGTCAAATCTAATAACCTTTTCTCATCCCTAATCCTTGTTGACCTCTCTGTAGCCTTTGATATTGTTGATCACCCTCTTCTCCTGGATACTGTCTTCTCAAGTTTTCATGACACTACTGCCTCCTGGTTTCCCTCCCTTTCTTACCATTTCTTCTTAGTCTTCTTTGCTAGATCTTTATCTAGGTCATATTTACTAACCTGGGTGTCCCCTTTTTCCTCGTTACTATCTTGTTTAATGATTTCATCAGCTCTCCTAGTCTCAGTGATACTCTCTGCAGGTTATACTCAGATCTACTTATCAGCCCTAATCTACCTCCTGACCTCCAGACTCATATCATTATCTGCCTTTTGGACATCTTGTCCTAAATGTAGGCATTTCAAATACAGCATGTCCAAAACTCATTATCTTTTCTTCTCATCCCTTTTCTCTTTTGAATTTCCTTATACAGGCGTCAAGCACACCACTAGCTTTCCAGTCACTCAGACTCATAACCTAGATATAGTCCTCTACTCTTTACTCACAACCTAGGTGTAGTCCTCTGTTCACTCTGTATAGCCAATCTGTTGAAAAGTCTTGCTTCTAACTTCACAGCATCTTTTATATACAGATCTATTTTTTTTTTAAAGAGACCATTCTTTGCCTCATTTTTTAAAGCTTTAATCATTGAATGGGCACTGCCTCAGTCAAACTGAGACCTGTTAAAGACTTGAGCTTGAAAAGGCCAAGGTCTCCCACTGCCTCTTGGTCATCCTGATCCATATCATGCCACTAGACCCAGATGGCTCTGGAGGAGAAAGTGAGCCTGGTGACTTGGGTGTACCCCCCCACCCCCACACTCAAATCCAATTCATTTGCATGTCATGGCATCACCCACTGATATGGTCCTCTTTGAGAATGAAGGACAAACAGTTTATACTGTATTTTTGTTATCTTCCACTCACACAGTTGCCACCCTGGGGCAGGCTCTTAACACCTGATTGCTGTAGCCTTCTGATTGGTATCATAGACTCAAGGCTCCCCCTACTTCAGTCCTTCTCCTGATTCCACATCTTTTCAATGGCTGTACCTATGGTTGGAGTGCACTGCCTTAACTCCCTCCTGATTTCCTTCAAGTTATTGTTATTTTCAGTTGGGTCTGACTATTTGACCCCATTTAGGGTTTTCTTGGCAAAGATACTGGAGTGGTTTGCTATTTCCTTCTCCAGCTCATTTGACAGATTGAGGAAACTGAGGCAAACAGCATTAAGTGACTTGCCCAGGGTCACACTGGTAGGCTGGTTTTAAACTCTGCTCTTCCTGACTCCAGGCCTGGTGTGCTACCTAGTGGCCCCAAAATAATAAATGCTTATTGATTGATTCTGAGAAGCTGTTGGTTGTTCACCTGGAAGATCTGGGTTCAAGTCCTGCCTCTGACACTAACTTTGTGACCTTGGCAAATCACTTAATCTTCTTTGAGCCCTAATTTCCTTATCTGTAAAATGAGAACAGTGATATCTAAAGTGCCTCCTACACAAAAATTCTAATGAGATAAATGAATGTAAACTACTTTGCTAGATTTGATTTACCATAAAAATGTCAGCATTGCATTATACATTTTTCTGTGAGCAATAGGGAGCCACAAAATACAACAGTACCTACTGTACAGATATCCGGAGCTAGTTATTATCTTCTATATGACTGGTGAGGCTAATTAGGGAATGTTTACTGGAGAAAAGGAACAGAATATTACTACTTATTTAATTTTAGAAAAAAGAATAACTTAATCACTCCTAATCTTGCTAACTAATGGTAGTATTTTTTTTTTTAACTTTTGATCCTTTTTCACACTTAAATTTTAAATTCTTTTGTTTCTATGGATTATACTTTTTTCTTGGACGGGACACATTTATCTCTAGAGATTTGACCTTTTCGCCCCCTTTTTTATTTAGCTGTTCCAGTACTTGAACTCCTTAGACTATGATCAACATGGGTCTGCTCTGACTCCCATAGTTCCAACATTTGCTGATATCCTATGTGTGGCAAATGAAGACATCGGATTAGCCAAATTTAGGTAAGCTAACTGTTCTGTGTGGAACTTGGAAAGTATTGGAGTAGATAATGATCTGAATCTTTGCAAATTCTAGGTGTTTAATACATGTTTGAGTTGAATTGAATATCTTTGAAAATTTGACATTTTATTATATGTGCTTTTATGGTTTTGTCATGTTAATAAGTATTTGTCAAATCCAGTGTATATATAGGTAGTTATCTTCCCAATAAAGAATTAGGCTTAGTGGTGAATAATAGGTATAGGAAAGATCAATATTAATCAGAATTATCCTATCCATTTTTATTATATTAGATGCAAGCCTATTTCAAAGCTTGAATTTTTAGCCTTGTGGAAAGTAGTACAGAATATAACTTGATTTGCTCTATGTGTGGTAGAGGGCTTTTGCTTGGAGAGTTTGGAAGGTTTGTGTGTATTTTTCTAGGATGCAAATCTTTTCTTACTAATGTGGAAGTCTGAATTAAATTACTAGATATTATATAGTATAACTTGTGAATTTCCATGTTTGATTTATATAATTAAACTCATGTTACTTGTTATGTCATGGAATATTGTATTTAATCAAATATTCTATTTAATTTTACCATATTTGCCCAAGATGGAATTGATGGGGTATAGGCCTTGGGACACACCCGTACCCCCAGCTCTCTTTGAATTTCCCCACTTGATCAAGTCTCTTGCTTTCTCCTGAGGCTATAATCCTCTCATCTGGCCTTTCATTATTGCTAATGCCTAATCTCCCAATTCTCTTTTATCTCTCAGTTGCCCCTGGCCACTTCCCACCCTTAATCCTATCTAGACTTTATTCTCCCTTGGCCACCCACACAGTCTAGGTCCCTGGCCTTCTGTTCCTTTTCTGTTACCTCACAGTTACCTCAGACTACTTGGCCACTCATAGATCCCTCCCATAGTCTTTCTGTATATAAGGTCATCTTGGCTGCCATTAAGGTGCTCAGATTATTAAAATCTGGCTCATGGCTCAGATTTAATCTGGCCCACCTGCAATACAAATGCTTAGGTTCCTTAAGAGTCTGGCCAGTATGGCAGATATTTTGCTCTGTCGGTGTTCTAATAAACCTAGTCTTTGGCTGAAAGAAAGCTTGGGTCAAATTCATTCAGGCAGGACCTGCGTGTTGCTATTTCAGCATCCTAGCACCCCTAAACCTCAAAAGAATGCTCATTTTCAAGGAATTAGAATCTAGTAAACTTAACCTTAACATTCCTAGGGGCAGCTAGGTGGCGCAGTGGATAGAGCACCGACCTTGGATTCAGGAGGACCTGAGTTCAAATGTGTCCTCAGACACATAACACCTATTAGCTGTGTGATCCTGGGCAAGTCACTTAACCCTATTGCCTAACCAAAAACAATACCAAAAAAACCTTAACATTCCTTTTAGGATCTTCATGTTGTCATCGTGACTCTTCTTTATTATTTATTGTTGTAATGTTAAAGTGTTTTTGATATTAAAGTTCAGAATAAAGAAGTAAATTTTAAAAAGGGAATGGGCAGGATTTTACGGATTCAAAGATCATAACTCATCTTCAGATAATTGAATGGTAGTTATAGACCCTCCTATGTCTATTGTTTGTCAGTTACAAAAAAGCATTTCACTTAGAGATGAGTAGTCTTAGTGTGGTATTGGTATACACAATATAGTCCTCTGTCAGTTGGGTAGATCTTCTGTGGAGGATTTGTAGGAAGATAGATGACTCATAGGATGAGAAGGAGAATGTGTGATATGCACCAGTGGAGAGAGTGTACCTGCTGACATTTTAGTCATTTGTATTTGCATTACTCCAGATTCCTTTCCAAAATGAGTGTACTGATTCATGGCTCTACCAGCAATGCACCAGGATGCTTATTTTTCCCACAACTCCAGCATCAACTATTTTCATCTTTTATTATCCTTGCCAATTTGCTGAGTGTGAAATGAAACCACAGGTTGTTTTGATTTTCATTTTTCTTCTTATTAGTGATTTGGAACATTCTTTCATGTGGTTATTAATAGTTTGCAATTCTTTTGAGAACTGTTCATAACCTTTCACTGCTTCACGATGTAATAAGTTCAATGTATGAATATATGAAAGTTAAAATTTTTTTGTAAAATGATAAGGTAACTAGTACTAGGGATCAGAGAGTGACTGTAGACTGTCTCTTTGTAGGAGAAAATAATTTCCTTTTCCCTAGAAATATTTTAGCTGTTCCTTCTTCTCTTTACAGAAATTGTATATGGAAAAATTATAAGGACAAAACTGAATTATTCAATTCAGTGCCTCCATCTTTAATTCCTGTTTCAAGACAAAGAAAGCAAATAAATGATCTTCCTGTTACTGAAGCAGCAATTAAAAAAATAGCTGCCCTGGAAGATGAGCTATCCATTCTTCGTTCCCAGATTGCTGCAATTGTTGGAATTCAAGAAACAGAAAACAGTAGGTCTACTTTTGGTAAGTTTATTTCTGCTTTGGTTTTGACTAGATAATTCTCGACTAGCATTTGAATCAGCCTTGTAGTTCAAAGCACATATGAAGGTATTCCCTATTATAACATACCCAACAAGTGGTTGCCCAACCTCTGCTCTAAGTCCTAAAGAAAGGCTGGTTGATGATCAGAGTTTCTAATTCTTTTGAAGTTACTTGTTTTTACCATATTCTTGTCATTGTATAAGTTCTTTTCCTTCTGTTCACTTTCTATCAGTTCATATAAATCTTTATCATTTCTTACAGGACCATAATATTCCATTACATTTATATGCTATAACTTGTTATTCCCCAATATATGGGCACCCCCTTATACTCTTATTTTTTGCTGTCTTAAAAAAGAGCTTTATTTTTGCACAATGTTAGTTACGAGTTTATTTAGGACTAACTACTCTCCCACTAATTCCCCCTTCTCCCATTTCCCTGTTGCATGAGATGGATTTTTTTATCTGACTGTGTGTGTGTGTGTGTGTGTGTGTGTGTGTGTGTGTGTGTGTATGAGCGACCGTGTGCGTGTGAGATTGCCTTTCAAGTGTCAGTTCCATCCTCTTGCCCCCAATCTGCTTTTCTTGGAGGTGAGTCATTGCATAATGTCCCTCATTCTCAAAAATGGTTGGATTTTCTACCTTGTTTCTTTCAAACTACTGGTGGGTGTTTATAGGTCAACCTTAAGAACCTAGTTGTAACTTTCAAAGTCACTTACCACCTAACTTAACCAACCAACAGCTAGGTGGTGCAGTGGATAGTGTGCCTCAGACACTTACTAGCTGTGTGGCCCTGGGCAAATCACTAACCTTGTTTGCCTCAGTTTCCTCATCTGCAAAATGAGCTGGAGTTTGCCTAGAAAATTCCAAATGGGCTCTGAAACAACTGAAATGCAGAAAAATGATGAAACTTAACAATTCCATTCAAATTCTTTTCCTTTGTTTCATTACTCTAGGGACATACCTGCCTCCCTTTCTGCTTTGTACCAATCTCTGTTTCATTTATTGTCCCCACCCATCAGTCTACTCTGTTATTTTTTTTTTTTTTTTAACTCTCTAGCCTTTCATCTTTTTAACCTAGCAGTTGACAGTAGATAGAGCACCAGGCCTGGAGTCAGAAAGCCCAAATCTGGCCTCAGATACTTACTAGCTGTGTGATCCTGGGTATGTCATTTAACCCTGTTCACCTTAGTTTCCTCATCAGTCAAATGATCAGGAGAGGGAAATGGCAAACCAGTCCAGTGTCTTTGCCAAGAAAACCCCAAATGGGTATCACAAAGAATTGGACACGACTTATCGACCAAACACAAAAATTCTCTTACTTTGTCTTACTTTCCTTGCCTTGTCCAACTACCTTCTCTTTATTTGTCTATGTCTTGTGGCTCTACTCCCTAATTCCCTTTTTTTTTTTTTTTTTGAGGGTAAGGATTCAAAAACATTATAATTCCATGTTCGTTAAATACCCCAAAGAACATTTCCTTGTTCAAAGTAGGGTAGAAAAAGAGGATTGTATGTAAAACAGGAAGTCTATTGCTTGTAGCTTTTTTTTTTTTTTTTTTTTTGAAGTGACTTGCCCAGGGTCACACAGCTAATAAGTGTCAAGTGTCTGAGGCCAGATTTGAGCTCAGGTCCTCCTGACTCCAAGGCTGGAGCTCTATCCACTGCGCCACCTAGCTGCCCCTGCTTAAGGCTTTTTAAAGAAAGTATATAATAAATTGAACCTGTTACTTTCAAACCTGTCTTTTTATCTGTTTGCTTCTGAAATTATCTTTTATTAATATGTCCTTCTTGCTGCCTACCTCTTTACTTTATTGGAATAAATTTTTAAAAAAAGGAAGAAAGCAAGCCCTGAAATACTACATGCATAGACTGGTAAAGCAAATTTCCAACAAAATTCTTCTTTCTGTATTTTAAGTTCGTTGTTTTTCTGTCAGAAAGTGAGTGGAATGTTTCATCTTTAGTCCTTTGGGCTCCTGTTTTATCATTGTTTTTGTCAGACTTCTAAAGCCTTACACAGTTGTTTTCCTTGATAATGTTATCATTGTATATATATTGTTTTAGTTCTACTGATTTCACTCAGCATCACTTCCTAGAGGTGTTTCTAGTTTGCTCTGAAATTATTTTGTAATTTATTATGGCACACAATATTCCATGTACATTCATATACAACAATTAACTTAACCATTTCCCAATAGGGGGATACCCACTTAATTTCTAATTTTTGGTTAAGAAAAGAGCTGCTACATTTTTGTAAATGAGAGACCTTTCTTTGATTTCTTTGGGTTATAGGCCTAATAGGTTGGATATGCACAAAGGGTTATACATAATTTAGTAACTTTTGGGGAAAAAGGAATGGATCAATTCATAACTTCATCAACAGTGTGCTTGTTTTCCTCCTACCCCACCAATATTTGTTTTTTTCTTCTTTTGTCATATTATGAGTGTGAGGTTGAACCTCAAAGTTGCTTTAATTTGTATTTCTCTAATTGTTAGTAATTTAGAGAATTGTTATATGATTGTTGATAGTTTGGATTTCTTTTTGTGAAAGCTGCCATTTATACCTTTTACATCTATCTATTGGGTAATGGCTTTTAGTCTTATAAATTTGAATCGGTTATTTTGGAAATGGAACCTTTATTAGAGAAATTTGCTGCCAGTATTTTTCCCCTGTTACTTGTTTTCCTTCTAATTATAATGACCTTAGATTTATTTGTGCAGAAACTTTTAAATTCCATATACTCAATCTTCAGTTTTATCTCATGTGACCTACTATTGTATGTTTAGTAATGAACTCTCCTCTCTCCCCCATGTGTAGATCCCCAAAGTTAATTTCTTCCTTAATCCTTTAATTTGTTTGACATGAATTTTTATGTTGAGGTCATGCATCCATTTGGAGCTTATTTTGGCATATGTTGTGAAGTATTGGTGTAAGCCTGATTTCTTGTAGCCTGCTGTCTCAGCAGTTTTTGTTAAATGAGTCCTTCACCCAGTACTTGTTTTTTTTTGGGGGGGGGGTTCATTGAACACTATGTTACTATGTTCCTGATCCTCCTCATCCTCTTCAATTATCCTTTATCTTTTTATATCCTCTTAAAAATTGACCTTGTTCCTTTTTCTTTTACTCCCTTAGTGTGCATGATCTAGATGATTTTCCAGACCTCAAGATTATTCTTTAGATTTTCTCAGTTTTTCCTAAATTTTGTCAAATTTCTCCCCACCAAACCCATTTTCACCTACTAGTCCAAACTAGACTTTACTAGTCCAAAGCCCTCCGAAGTCACCTATGTGATTTTTTTTTTTTGTGACTCATATCCACGGCTTCTCCCATGGAAGCCAGAAATTGCATTGGTACCCTTAGTACTTTGGGCACCCATGATTTTATTGATATTCTACCTATAAGATTGTAATTATTTCACAACTTCCCAGGTGGTGTTTATAAATTGTAAATTCAGTCACTTGATTGTCAGTCTTCTAGTGCACACCATCCCCAGTGCACTTGGCCTGCTCTCAGACTGCCCAGCTTTACATATAGGTCATTGTCACACCATATTGAAGTATTTCCATGGTCACCTTCATACCATGATGAGGCATTTGATTAGCTCTTTTAAAAGTTTTGATGCATATGTTTTTGGAATTAAATAAAGACTATAAAATATCTATTTTTGTATGCTTCAGAGGAGGTGAGATAATCTAGAAAGACTCCCAGAATTGGTGTTACAAGAACTGAGTTGAAGTTCCAAGTTCACCTCTCTGTGCCTCAGAGTTCTCATCTTTAAAAGGAGGATAATTATATTTGCGTTAACCTCCTTCACTGTAAGGAAAATGAGTCCTACAATTGTGAGCTATTAATACTGCTGACCTATATTTAAAACAAAGTTGGTAGCCTTTATGCAAAAGATATAGAAAACTTTAATTATGTTGAGGTGGGTGGTGTTTCTCAGAGGAGAGACTTCCTAGTTCTCTTTAGGCATGTCTTGCTTCTCCTAGGAAGTTTAACTAACTTTCCCGTGTCATTTGTACATAACTACTTTTCAGGAATCATTCATTGTGTAAATTGAAGTTTGGTATAGGAATATTGGGTATTGCCCTGCTTAGTAGAACTTCAGGGGAGCTAAGGTGATTGATTTCTCTTGTATTGACAGAATTGGGTAAAATATCACTGTACAGGAGGTAGATGCATCAGGTTTATACTTGGATTTGTAAGTTAGTCTTGTTTATAGTACACTCATAATTTTTACCAACATTTAAAATTATCTGTTGAGAAGTGTAATTAAGATTGTGTATCATGTTAAGTAATAACACTTCATATTTTCCTTTCAAAATAGTCTTTGAAATCACATGTCATTAGCATTTTTACTCTGGATTGCTAATTTGGAATGTAGATTAAGCTTTCTGTTGACTTGCTTTATTGGAACTCCTTTGCAAGAGAATTTGCTTCTGCCCAGGAAGCACATAACTGTTTTAATAACATTTCAGGAATAGTTCCTAATTTGCACAGAAACCATAATGACATATATTTACATGTGATCTTGTGAGATGCTTTTTGTTTTTTCAAATTTTATTTATTTTTCTTACATTTTAAGTTCCAAACTGCCTCTCTCCTTCCCTCCATCCTCACCCCACACTAGAGAAGGTTACCATTCAACATAGATTTATTTATTTTTCCTCACTTAATAGTATTTTTTTTTCAATTACATGTAAAGGTAGTTTTCAGCATTTACTTTTATAAGATTTTAAGTTCCAAATTTTTTCTCCCTCACTTCCCTCCCCCATTTTCAAGATGGCAAGCAATCTGATACAGGTTATACATACACAATCATATTAAACATATTTCTACATTAGTCTTGTTATGAAAGAAGAATCAGAACAAAAGGGAAAAACCTGTGTGGTTGTGTGTTGGTGTGTCTGTGTGTGTGTGATGTAGTCGAGGTTAAGTGACTTGTCCAGGGTCACATAGCTGGTAAAGTGTCAAGTATCTGAGGCTGGATTTGAACTTGGATCCTTCTGACTCCAGAGCGGGTACTCTATCCACTACACCACCAACTGCCCCTGACACAGATTTATAAATGTATATAAAACTATATTATGTATACTTCTACTTTCTTTATCTGGAGGTAGATAGCATCTTCTTTCATAAGTCCTGTGTAGTTGATTTGAGTATGTAAAATACTTGTAATAACTTGGTTGTTCACAATTATTCTTCAAACAATATTGTTGCTATTGTATACAGTGTTCTCGGTGCTGTTTATTTCACTTTTCATTATTTAATGTAAGTCTTTCCATGTTTTTCTAAAATCAACCAGCTCATCATTTCTTATAGTAGTAGTATTCTTACATTAGTGTTTCTTCACAATCATATACAACAACTTGTCTAGCCATTCCTCAATTGATGGGTATCTCCTCAATTTCCAGTTCGTTGCCACCACAAAGAGAGCTGTTATAAACATTTTAGAACATACAGCTTCTTTTTGTTTTTCCCTGATCATCTTGGGAAACGGACCTAATAGAGGTATTGCTGGGTCAACGGGTATATATAGAGTTTTATAATTCTTTGAGCATAATTCCATTGTTCTCCAAAATGGCTGGATCAGTTCATAGTTCCACCAATAATGTATTAGTGTCCCAATTTTTCCACATCCCCTCCAACATTTGTCATTTTTTCCTTCTGTAATTTCAGCCAGTCTGCTAGGTGTGAGATGATATCTTAAAGTTGTTTTAATTTGCATTTCTCTAATCATTAATGATTTGGAGCATTTTTTCATATGACTATAGGTGTGGTTTCTTCATCAAAAAACTGCCTGTTTATATCCTTTGACCATTTATCAGTTGGAGAATGACTCACATTCTTACACATTAGACAAAGTTGTCTATATGTTTGAGATATGAGACCTTTATCTGAAAAACTGTCTATGAAATCTCCCTTGCCCTCCTCCATTTTCTGCTTTCCTTCTTTTCTCAGCTACATAACTTTTATTTGTATAAAAACTTAATTTAATGTAACCAAAATTGTCCATTATACATCCCACAATGCTCTCTGTCGCTTGTTTATTCATAAGTTCTTTTGGCCATAAATCTGATAGGTAATGTGTTCCATGTTCTTCTGGTTTTCTTATGATAATCTCCCTTTATAGTTAGTTCATGTATCTGTTTTGACCATATCTTGGTAAATGGTATTTAAAATATTGCTCTGTACCCAATTTTTGCCAAGTTGCTTTCCAGTTTTCCCAGTAATTTTTACCAAATAGTGTATTCTTATTTTATCCCAAAAGCTTAAATCTTTACATTTGTCAGATACAGGGTTACTCTGATCATTTACCACTGTGTATCGTGTGTCTACTCTGTTCCACTGATCCAGCTTTCTATTTCTTGGCCAATACCAGATAGTTTTGATAATTACTTCCTTATAATAGAGTTAAGTTCTGGTACTGCTGAACCTCCTTCCTGAGATGCGTTTTAAATGAAAACTTTTGTTTTTAGATTCCTTGACATCATATGACATGCCTGATAATTTGGGACCACTACCATCAACGACCTCTTCACACTCCTCTGTACCACGATGCTTTTCACCTTCAGTGATTCATCCCCCCCCTCCTCCACCTCCTCCACCTCTTCTACCTCCTTCATCTACTCCATCGGTATCTGATATCAGTGATTCAGGCAGTTCAAGAGATGGACTTATAAAAGAGCGCCATGTTACAAATAAGACCGACTCTAGCAAATGTGCAAAAAACCAGAGAACTAAAGATGTTCCCAGCATAATGGATGTTCTGAAGGATATGGATAAAGTCAAGCTGCGTGCTATTGAACGGTAAGTTGGTTTAATTTGATATACAAATAAACATTCCCCAGTGAGGATTTTGATTTAAATGAAATTTTTAAATATTGAAGAAATACAACATTTAAGAATTCATTGTACAGAACACATTATCTAGGCTATTTAGGTCACTTGATGCTGTAACTTAACTGTATTAACTTTACACAGAAAAACAATTTTTCTTTTAAAAAAATAAACTTTTACTGATATATTTTCATTTTTTACATCACTAGAATTTCTTTCAGTGTCCCTTCCCCTCCTGTCAGAGAGCCATCTCATATTAAAAAAAAATTTTTTTTAAGGAGGGGAAGAAGGGAAAAAAGCAAAACCAATCAGTATATTGCAAATGTCTGAAAATACATGCAGTGCACCACAACTGTGACCTCCCATCTCTGCAGAGGAGTGGCATATTTCTTTTTTGGGACCATGCTTATTCTTTGTAATTTTGCAGCATTCGCTTTTGATTGTTTTGCTCTTCCATTTACATTATTATAATGCTTTATGTGTATTTGTTGGCTCAGCTTACTTCATTCTGCATTAGATCTTGTAAATCTTTCTCTTTTTATTTTTTTAACATTTTATTTTTTTCTTCCAATTACATATTAAAACAATCTTTTAAACATTTTTAAAAAAAAGTTTTGAGTTCTGGGGGCAGCTTGGTGGCACAGTGCATAGAGCTCCAGCCTTGGAGTCAGGAGGACCTGAGTTCAAATGTGACCTCAGACACTTGACACTTACTAGCTGTGTGTCCCTGGGCAAGTCACTTAACCCCGATTGCCTAAGCAAAAAAAAAAAAAAAAGTTTTGAGTTCCAATTCTATTCCTTCTCCCTTGCCTTCCCCCTTGCCTGAGTTGGTAAGCAATCACATATAGGTTGTACATGTGCAATCATGTAAAATATTTCTATATTAGTCATTTTGTACAAGAAGACAAGAATGAAAGAAAGAAAGAAAGAAAAATAGCATTCTTCAATCTGTATTCAAACAATATCAGTTCTTTCTTTGGAGACAGATAGTATACTTCATCATTAGTCCATTGGGATTTTCTTGAATCATTGTATTGCTGAGAATATTTAAGTCATTCACAGTTCTTCATCAAACAATACTGCTGTTACTGTATATAACGGTCTCCTCATTCTGTTCACTTCATTTTGCATCAGTTCGTGTAAGTCTTTCCAGGTTTTTCTGAATCTTTCTCTTTTTAAAAAGGAAATTACTGATGAGTTTTGTTTTTCCGTTACCACATTTAGAGATTATTCCTATTTCAATGAGAGTTCTCTTGTAACAAAATAAAACAATTGAATAAGACAAATAATGCAGTGACTTTGTGTGAAAGTGCATACAGTGTTACATATCTGTACACTTCTCTCCTTTTATTTTTTTAAATTAACAGAAATCTGTTTTCTTTCTCTCCTACCCCCTCCCCATTGGATAAAAAAAGCAAATTTCTTGTTAACAAATATGCATGTCAAGCAGAACAAATTCCCTTAGTGGCTGTATATAAAAATATCTGTCTCATTTTGTACCGTAACTCCATCACCTGTAATGGATAGCTTGTAAATCCGTCCATGATTTTCTGTATTCGTTGTAATTGTAATTTCTTGTAGCACATTATATTCATGCACCACAATTTGTTTAGCTGTTTCCCAGTGATGGACATTATTTTGTTTCCATTTCTTTGCTGTACATATTTTGGTATAAAAGGGGCTTTTTATCAGTGACCCCTTTGAGGTATAAGCCTAGTAGCACGTTTTTTCAGGAATAAAGGGTATGGACATTTTAGACACTTTCTTGGTATAACTACAAATTGATATACTGATTCACAGCTCTATCAACAATGCATCAGTTTTCTTTCCACTACCCCTTTAGCATTTACTATTCTCATTTTTTATCTTTGCCAATTTGCTAGGTGTAAAATTAAACTTTAGCATTGTTTTGATGTGCATTTTTCTTATTCTTAGTGATCTGGAATTTTTTTCATAGAGTTGTTGTTAATAGTTCTTTTCTTGGTAATTTGTGTTTTCTGGTTAGTTGAATGTTTGGTGATTAATGTTAAGTTCCATTGTTTGATTCTTCCTTGTCTAGTCTGTTCTGTTGGTCTGTTTTAAGCATTACCAAATGGTTTTGATGACTGCCTCTTTATAATATAGTTTGAAGTCTGGAAGTTCTCCCTGTAACACCAATCTCCTCCTCCCCCTCCCCCTATTCTACCTTTTTTCATTATTTCCTTCATATGTTAATTTTTTTGTTTTTCCACATGGATTTAGTTATTTTAGGTTCTATAAAATATTCCTTTGATAGTTTAGTATGGCATTAAAGTTGTAGACTAACTTTTGTAGTCTTGTTATTTTTGTTATATTAGTATGGCCCAGGTATGACCACGGAATATTCCTACCATCATTTAGGTTCCTCTTTTTTTTTTTTTTTTTTTCAACAGAGTGAATCTGTTTTGTGTGCTTTGATAGACAGATACACAAATATTTGATCTTTTTTGTAATTATTTTGAATGGAATTTCTTTTTGTTATTATAGAGAAGTGATTTTGAGAAAAAATTTATTTCATTGGATACATGCTATTCTCAACTAAGCCTCTTTATAGATATTATTGGATACTAAAGGCCTCTCAGTTAAAATGAAGTGAACTGTTATCATTCCTGGGGAGAGTGTATGCCTTATTAGAAAGTAACTAGATTCATCTTCATATAGAAAGGAAAAGTATATTTTCATAGGGCTTTAAAAAAAATTCTCTGTATAGTTTCTGTGTCCACATGGAGGAATTGTTTTGGTACAGTATCATTTGACAAGTCTAAAAACGTATAGCAGATTTGGCATAGAGATATTTCTTGGGTTGCCAGATGCTTAACTTACTGTTTTTCAGTCAATTCTGTAGTTTAGGAAAGTTTCTCTCTTACTGTTTAGTTTTTAACTTCACTGTCTAGCTTAGGGTAGACTCCTCCTGTGAATGATTGTTCCACTATCTATTAATAAGGTACAATTAGCAAAGACAGTTAGGCATGGGGCCCTTTTAGGTTATGGTATGGGTTGAAAAATAATAGATTAGCAATGTGACTTAGAGATTAGAACCATAATTCGGGGAGCAGGGAGATAAAACTGTAGTGCCATCAAAATTTTGAGTTGAAAGGGACTTCAGAAATAATCTAGTCTAACTTCATTTAATACACCCACACACACACACACAAATTCATGTTTTGAGAAGTTAAGGTATTTGTTTAAGATTATGTAGCTTGTTAGTGGGGGAGCTGAAACTAGAACCCTAAACTCCAGATTCCTTCTCCAGTATGCTTTTCTCTTCTTGGAAAGTAATTTCTTAAGGTACAATATATTCCATTTCAGTCATATGTTTTCTGTGCTCTTTCCAGCACCCAGAAGCACAGTTAGTGCTGTCTCTGGATTATCTATACTTCTCCCCTCTATTACTGTAGATAATTAAGTTTCCACTCAAAATTCAGCCTCGGGTTTGAGTGATCTAAGTTTCTGTAATGAAGTATTAGTAGTACTTTAACCTCCCAGAGAAGGCTGGGGAGCTGAGATTAGAGAGGTGAGGTAGAAGAAGGTTTGCCCAAACAATTTAGGGATTAAAATATCCCTATCCAAAGTATATTTTTCTCCTGAAGGGGCCAAAAAGAGGTAGAATGTGAAAAATAACTTGGTAAATTCCTGCTGCTAAAAAAAAAAAATCAAGTTGAAATTTAATATGAGTTTTCTCTGGTACTTCGCCTTCTGTATCTTTTTGCATTCCCTCACTGAATTTTGGAGTTGGAAGGGCCCTCAGTGGCCATCTAGTCCTAGCCATATTTTATTTTACTTTTTACATGTGAAGTCATGCAAAACATTTCCATATTAGCCATGTTGCAAAAGAAGACACAAATAAAGTGATTATAATAAAGCAAAAAAAAAAGTAAGCTTCACTTTGCATTCAAAGTTAATCATTTCTCTCTCAAGAGGTAGATAGCATTTTTAATTACGTGTGCTTTAGAATTGTTTTGATCCAGAGGAGCTTTCACAGTTGATCATCCTGACAATGTTGCTGTTACCATGTACGGTGTTCTTCTGGTGCTGCTCACTTCATTTTGTGTGAGTTCATATAAATTTTCCCAGGTTTTTCTGAATCCATCTTGCTCATCGTTTCTTTGTAGCACAATAGTATTCCATTACAATCGTGTACAACTTGTTTAGCCATTCCCTAGTTGATGGGCATCCCCTCAATCTTTGATCTCTTTAGCCTATAGATGTAGTAGTGGTATTGCTGGGTCAGTTGTTCTCCAGAGTGGTTGAACTAGTTTTGATGGGGTGACAGGACCTGGACCCCAAAAGGCAAAGACCATGTCTCTGGAAGTAACCCAACCCCTTTCCCCCCCAAAAGGAAATCTCTCTCTATTGCCTGACCCTGTAATTCCTCAGATAAAAGCTGTCTCAGGGTGCCTGGCCCAAGGAGCCTGATCTCCAAGGACCGTACTCTGGCATCCCTTCTATCTTGTCCCCTCAACAAAGCTATCTCTGTTGACTCCCTTAGTTTTCACATACATTCCAGCAGCCTAGCACCTGGGACTGCTTGCATATACTGACCATTCCCTAATCTAGTGGGGGTGGGAGGCCCAATCACCTAATTAGCATATTTGGCATTCCTTTTCCTGTCCCTTTTCATATAAGCATTAGTATCATCCCCATTAGGTTGTAAGTTTGGAGCTTTGCCCGCATCACAGTAACTTTGCCACTTGATTGGAAGACGGTTTGTGTGTGTGAATTCACCTGTACTCGGACTTTCTCCCAGCCTTTGTAATTTTCCTTTTTTGTGATGTTAGCCAATCTGACAGGTGTGAGGTGGTGTCTCAGAGTTGTTTTAATCACTATTCAGTAGTGATTTTTAGAGCATTTTTTTATGTGACTGTTGGTAGCTTTGATGACTTTTTTATAGATTTGGCTCAATTCCCTATATATTTGAGAAGTGAGGCCTTTATCAGAGAAACTTGCCTTAAAGTTCTCTCCCCCCACCCCCAGTTTCCTATTTTCCTTCTAATTTTGGGTGCGTTAGTTTAGTTTGTGCAAAAGCGTTTTAACTTCATGTAATCAAAATTATTTCCTGTAATGTTCTCTATCTCTTGTCTGGTCATAAACTCTTCCCTTATTCACAGATCTAACGGGTGCATTTTTCCATGCTCCACTAATTTGCTTATGACATCACCCTTTATGTTTAAATCATTTATCCATTTTGACCCTATCTTGGTATACGGCGTAAGATGTTGAACTGTGCTTGTATAGTGCAATACAAAACTGAAATGGGCTGCCTTAGGAGACAGCAAGACCTCCTTCACTGAAAACCTTCAAGCAAAGGCTGAATGCTAGGTTGTAGAGGAAATTGTTTTAAAGTATGGCTTGGGTGCTTCTAGATTTCAAACTATGTTATAAAGCAGTAGTCATGAAAAGAGTCTGGTACTGGCTAAGAAATAGTGGGGGATCAGTGAAATAGATTAGGTACATAATATGCAGGAGTAATTGACCATAGGAATATAGTGTTTGATAAACCCCAAAGATCCAAGCTTTTGGGGTAAGAACTCAACATTTTACAACTTCCATCCATTGCTTTTAGTTCTGCCTTTTGGGCTAAGGAGAGCAAACCTAATCCCTCTTCTATGTGACAAAATTTTAAATGACTGAAGACAGCTGTCATATGCTCCCTAGTCTTCTCAATGCTAAATAACATAACATCCCTCTGCTGACGGCTGTTGCATTTTCTGTTCTTTGGGATGATAATGCTTTTTCAGTTACTGAAGAGTTGAGCTCCCTTTTAGAGATCTTTTCATTTACTTTATGCAATCATGCTTACTGCTCCCCGGTTCTGCTTATTTTGCTGCATCAGTTCATAACACGTCTTCCTAATTCCTTAGGTTTAAATTACTCATAATAACCATTTCTTACTGCATAGTTATATTCCACTACAGTAATATTGCAGTTTGTTCAGCCACTCTTTCAAATGATGAACGCTCACTTTTTTCCCAATTCTTTTTTTTCCATAAAAAGTGCTTCTGTGAATGTTTTCGTATATGTATATATATGAAACTTTTGTGTCTTTCTTTGACCTCATTGGAGTATATTTCCAGCAGTAGGATTACTGGGACATAAGAGTCTGAACAATTTTTTGACTTTTCTTTCATGGTTCCAGATTATTTTCCAGAAAGGCTAGACCACCAACTGTGTATTAGTAAACCTGTCTTCCCATATCACTCCAAAATTGATTTTTTTCCCCATCTTTGACAATTTGAAAGGTGAATCTTGATAGTTTTAACTTGCATTTCTATTGTTAGTAATTTGGGATATGTTTTCTTTTGAAAACTAGTCCTGTCCTTTCATCACTTATCTATTGGATAATGATCTTAGTGTTACAGTTTTGGCAATTCCTTATATGCCTCAATTCTCAAAATTTCATCGATGATAACTGATGGGAAAATCTCCCTTTACTTTTCTAAATATGAAGGTTTTTATATACAAAGCAGATTTGTCAAGCTCTGCCTTAAGTTTCTGTACCTAAATATGTGCACTATACCTATCAACAAGGTGATTAAAGTTTTAATTTATTGAAATTTCTATAGGTCACCTGGAGGGAGACCTGTTCATAAGTCAAGAAGACAAAGTTCTCATTGGGATCCAGTGTCTATAATTTCTCATGCCCTTAAGCAAAAATTTGCGTTCCAGGAAGGTGATTCCTTTGAAAAAGAAAGTAGTTCTTGGGACTCTTCATTTTCCAGTCCAGAAACTCCAAAGGTAACCCTATGATAGTATATCATCAAGATATTTTTCAGAAGTAAACTATTTATATGACAGATTTTTGAAGGTAGATCTTGTGTCCAAATTCTGTTGATGTAATTAAATATAATTGGCTGTATAGTTTTGTTGATGCTAATTACTATGTCTTATTTATCTCCACTGTAGCTTGTGACTCATAGCATTAGGCTTTTTAAACTGAAATACTTTGATTTTTTTTCCCTCTCAGTTATAATAATCATCTTATTCTTTGAAATTCTCATTTGATTCTCAAAACAGTACTGTCATTCCTTATATTTTATTTTAAGTGAGCTACCCAAGTTTATACAACTAGTGACTGAGCCACAACTTGAGATGATAATAATGCATGTAAAGTGATTTGTCAGCTTTTAACATAATAATAGCTGACATTTGCATAGTGCTTACTATATGCCAGTCACCGTTCATGTGCCAGTCACTTTACAGTTATTACCTTTTTTGATCATTAGAACAACTTTGGGAGGTAGATGCTATTGTCTTCTTTTTACAGATGAGATAACTGAGGTGAACAGATAGTTAATGACTTTCCAGGGTCACCCAGCAGCTCTTAAGTGGCTGAGGCTGGATTTGAATTCAGGTTTTCCTGACTCTCTTGACTGAGTACTCCATTCACTGATCCACCTAGGTATCCAATATGATATATAAATGTAAGCTTCTATCTGGTCGACCAAAAATAAATAATCATCAATAATAAACATTTATTGAGCACCTAAAATACTTTATTTTTAGGACAGCTCTATAGGCCCTCACTCAGATCCTGTTTACACTTTTATTTTGGCTTCAGTTCCACTAATATTGCTCATTTATTTTCCAGCCCATAGTTCTTTAGGAGCAGAAAATTAGATGTTGTCAAGGCAGCTTTAGACACAGATATGCAGAAAGTAGCTAGAAGTTACAGCTGATATCCTGGCAGTAAAGAAGGAGATATGAGGCAGCAGACATCCTCACATACTTCAGTAATTCTAAGGATATTACTGTATTGCAACATAGAATAGTAGCTAATATCCAATAAACAATGACTCAAAATAATTAAGAAAAAATTAAATTATGTTCAGTAGATTGTTTAAGAGGGCAAAGAAGATGGAAGATTTCCATGAAAATGGGTAAAATAAAATTTGAAGCTTAAAGTGATATTTATCCAAAGAACTATATGAAGATAGTAGATAAATCAGATGTTATTATACTATCATATATTCAAAAATTATTTCATACATGTTAATTGTTTTTTCATTAATTAGATTGTGAGTTCCTTGACAGTAGGGACCATGCTTTATGCTTACTCTTCATGCCCCTTAGCTCCGTGAGGTATTGAGATACTTGGCCATTGATTAAACATTTGTTTGCATTTTGTCTTTTTCACAGTATGTTCAATTAATTTTTGTGTTTTAAAATATGCTTAATTTTAGTTTGGACGTCCTATCTTGCAGCCGAATGGACAGTGTACCCAAGAAGAAATTGACAAAGTACCACAAAGGTGTCATTGTTAAAAGCTTTGTTTCTCTAGTTAAGAATGAGCCAAACTTGAAGGAAAATGCATGTGCTTCATAATGTGTTAAATAGTGGCAGGACCACTTTTTAAAGCAACTAAATAAAATTTGTGCACTGGAATATATTGATATGTAACTGTGAAAAACTCACAAGCCTACCTATGTGACCTCTTATAGATTTCCCAGCAGTCAAACTTCTGAATGAAATGTGTGAAAGTTTTTCTTTATTGTGCAGTTGTATCTTGAGAACAAATATTAGATGACCTCATATTTCTCATAATAGAAGGCTCAAGTGTTGCCATGAGAGGAACCATTTTAGTGTATAAATGAAACCTTAGACTGCAGTATAATATTGGAAAGCCATTTACTTGACAAGGTGCTAAGGAATCAGAACTCCTCTTCCAGTTTATGAAAACTGCTGTGCCAGTATCATGAATATCCCTCCTAATTTACTTGATTAATTCAGGTAGGTAGCCTTGTGCCTTTTCTTCAAGTGTAGAAATCTTCAGCTGGCTTTCAATTTTCAGTAGTCTGATGGTCTTTAAAGACTGTAAGATTATAGTTTCTTTATTCAAACAGCTGTAGGTTGACTCACTAAATGGTTGCACTTTGATACTTATAGAATTGTTAATATCATGTTCTTATGTTCACAGTTTGTTTTTTTGCCCTTAAATGTGATTTTATCGAAGTGCTGCAAATATAAATTTTTAGGGAATCTTTTGCTTCTTAAACATTGCATAAGCTTGTTATGTAAATGTGTATGTATCATGATTTTTTTCTCTGTTCTTTATTCATTTTCTAACATGAACTTTTGTAAATAGTTTGTGAAATAAATGTACTTTCCATACTTGTACTTGGTATCTATTGAAGTATGTTTATTTTGTCCTGAAATATATTTTGCTAGTAGGTTTGGGGTTTAGGAGTAAAGGAGAAGAAAAACATCACTTTCCCCTTCCTTAATAGATGTGCACATTTCTTTATAAATTAGATACTCTACATGATATTTATATAATGCTGAGTTTGAGGCTGCCACCTGACTGTAAAGTAGTCCAGGTATTCTGAGAGAAATGAAAGCTGTTTAATTTCTTTTAAGCTGTACAAATGATAATTTATTTCTTCTGTTTTAACTGAATGGAAAAAAAATGTGATCCTTAAACAAGACTTTCTTTATTAAATCAGTTATTCTTTGAATCACCTAGTAGTGATTAATTCTCAGTTTTCTGAAATTGTTTTGTTTGTTTCTCTTGTTTTTAGGAAAAAATAAAAATTTCTTTGTATTCTTCTGGAAATTGTGTGTAGGGGAGATTATAAGTGAGGAAGCTATTAATTGATAAACAAAAGCATTTAGTTGAAATTGCACTGGTTTGGGCATCAATAAACCTGGGTTCTGCCTGAGTCTGCCACCATCTAGTTTTGTGATCTTGCACAATTGTAATAAATTTTTTCTGAAATTTAGTTTCTCCATCTGTTAAGAGGTAGTGGCACTAGATGCTGATCTGCAAGGCTTCTTCTTGTTCCAGCATCCTATGATAAAATTATGGGTACTTGAAATACTGTTATTTTCTCTTCATTGATACAGATCACCACCTGTCTATAACTTAGTAGATATTCTTTGAAAGTTGCTGTAACTGGAAAATTCCCTCTGCAAATCAGCCTGTTGATAAGCCTCTGAACTCGTTCGTGGATAACATCTTCTGGCCCAAGTAATAATATTTTGAAAAAAGAAACCAAAACCCAGAACATTGTTGCAATTTTTTCCTCAACTAATATTTTATTCAATTCAGCAAGTATTTATTGATTACTAATGTAATGGCAAATGTTTCTACCCTTAAGAGGCTTACATTCTACTGGAGAGGAAACAACATAGATTAGTCAATACAAAATAAATACGAAATAATTTTGGGAGAAATGGCACTGGCAACTGAGAGGGAACAGCAAAGGTCTCTTGGAGGAGTCATTTGAGCTGGGTCTTCTAGGGAACTTGAAATGCAGAGTGGTTGGAGATAGAATATTGTGTATAGGGAACAGAAATTAGGACAGTTTGGAGTATAGCTTGTGAGGAAGATCATGTGAAGTTAGAGATTAAAACTAGATTGTCATTTAACCTCACTTTGCCTCTGTTTTCTTAACTGTAAAATGGGGATAACGTTGCAGGGTTGTTGTGAGGATCAAATGAGATTTGTAAAGCTCAGTACCGTGTCTGTACTCAGTAAGCATATTTTAATTGCTTATTCCTCTCCTTTTTCTTGATTGGATCTTCATCCAAGCCATGCCTGCTAATTGGGAGTGTCCCTCAGGGCTCTGTCCTTGGACCCTTTTCAATCTTTTCCTTATGTGCTGTTTTACTTGGTAATTTTATCAGCTTTTGTGAATTCAATTATCTCTGTGGTGATGGTTCTCAAATCTTACCTCACTTTAAGCATTCTGTTGACTTCCAGTCTCACATCTCCAACTGCCTTTCAGACATCTCAGACTGGATGTCCAATAGACATCATAAATTTAACATGGTCCAAAACTGAACTCATTTTTCCCTTAAAACCCTCCCCTCTTCCAAGTTAACTTCCCTATTATTAAAAGTACCACCATTTTCTCAGTTGTCCAGGCTTGCAACCTAGATGTCGTCCTTTGCTGCTCATTGTCTCACCTCGTGTCTAATCTGTTGACAGTGGCCTGTTGATTTTTACCTTTGTGAGAGTTCTTGCTTCCTCTTCCCCATTCTCTTCTGCCACCACCCTGGTGCGAGTCCTTATCATTTCATGCCTGGAGTATTGTAATAGCCTGCTGATTGGGCTCTCCCCACAATGGCCCCTGCTCCTCTCAGAGTGATTTTCCTCAAATGTAGATCTGACCATGTCACTGCCTTACTCAGACTCCAGTGGTTTCTGGTTAACTTCAGGATCAGATATAAAATGTTTTCATTCAAAGCCATTCATATCCTCTTTCCCCTCTGCTTCCCATACATACATACCTTTCCAGTCTTCTTATACCTTACTCATCCCCACATGCTCTGTGACCTAGTGACATGGGCTTCCTTGCTATTTCTTGTACAAAATGCTCCATATTCAGACTCCATGTATTTTAGTGGCTGTTCCCTCATGCCTGCCTGAAATTTTTTTTTTCTTTTGGTGAGGCAGTCGAGGTTAAGTGACTTATCCGGGGTCACACAGCTAGTGTCAAGTGTCTGAGGCCAGATTTGAACTCCTGTCCTCCTGACTCCAAGGCCGGAACTCTTTTCACTGCGCCACTTACCTGCCCCTGGGCCTGAGATTCTCTCCCTCTTAATCTGTGCCTCCTGATTTCCCCAACATCAAGTCCCAACCAAAATTCCATGTAAATTCCATTTACATGAAGCTTTTCTGGATCTTCCTTAATGCTAGTGTCTTCCCTCTATTGATTATCTCCAGTTTATCCTATATATATAGGATATATCCATTATATATCCTATATATCCACTTGCTTTGTGTCATGTTGTTTGTATGTTGTCTCTCCCGTTAGATTTTGAGCTTGAGGGCAGGGGCTATCCTTTGCTTTTCCTTGTATCCCCTTCAGTGCTTAGTACAGTGCCTGGCATATGGTGGGTACTTCAGTGTTTGGCTGAGGAGCCAAAATAGAGGAGCTGTCTTACAGTTTTAAGTAGTGACATTTTCCACCTTTGCCACAAGAGGGCAGTGTAATACCAATAACAAGAGTCTTAGCTTTTGCCTAGTTAAACTTGTACTGGAAAAACAATTCCCTCTACAATATTCTCCAGTATAATCATCTGGCCTCCCTTTAAGTGAAGATTTCTAGGGAGGGGAAACCTTATGATGGCAGTCCATTCTACTTTGGGGAAACTAATAGTTTGGAAGTTTATATTGAATTAAAATCTATCCCTCTGAAACTTCACTCCATTGCTTGTGAGTTATGTCTTTATGTGGCCCCATAAAAGAAGTCTTAATTCCTCTTTTTCCTTAAGACCCTTCAGATATTTGAAGATAGCCCCGAGGTCCTCCCTGAAGTTATTTCTAGGCTAAAAGTTCTTGGTTCCTCTAATTAGTCTTTGTGCGGTTCTCTTACCCTCCTGGTCACTCTCCTTTGCATGTATTATAGCTTGTCAGTGACCTTCCCAAAATGTAGTGCCTAGAAATGAACCAGCAGCTTTTATGGTTGCTAGCATCACATTATTGACTTGAACTCAAACTCATGCCACCAGTCTGGCAAGAAAGACAAACAGTATATTACTGTTGTCATCTAGGCCATATATTTACATCATGTCTTCAAGGATTGTTTAGGTTACTATGTCAAATGCCTCACCATAATCCAGAAATACTATATGCCCTATCCTGATTTACCAGTTTAGCATATCTGTCAAAAAATAAAATGAAGTTACCCTGATGTTTCTAATGAAGCCATGCTAGCTTACAATGATCACTGATTCTCCTGAGTATTCACAAACCATCTCTTTAAGAATTAAAAACTTTTGCCTGGAATCAAAGTCAAGCTTACGTTATGAGAAATCCATTTTCCTTCTCTCACCCTCCCTCCTCCAGTTGGGATCATATTTATCTATTTCCAACTCTGGCAGCTTTCCCATTCTTTAAGATGTATTTTTAAAAAAATTGATAGCTCAACAGTCATAGATCATTTTGGTATTCTGAGAAATTAATCCAGGCCTGGTGGCCTTGAATTTGCTGTTAGTTGTTAGGTTTACTCTTTGATTAAAACTTTCAGTACTGAATGTGTTTAGAAGTAGCTGGAAAAATATCTGTAAGTATTAACTCAAAAGCACCATATGTTTTCAGAAGAATATTTATGATTAAACTGATCACAACATGAATTCTCATGTTCTTTCTAGAGAACTATTTTCTGATTGTGTGACTGTATAGACTTAAAAATTGTAGTGAGATCTGAGATTTTTCATCATGAGTCTTTTGGAATTGTCTTGTATCATTGTATTGCTGAGAAGGGCTAAGTCAATCATAGCTGATCATCACACGGTATTGCTGTTAATGTATACAAAGTTCTCCTGGTTCAGCTCACTTCACTTAGCATCAGTTCATGTAAGTCTTTCCAGGTTTTTCTAAAATCCACCTGCTCATCATTTCTTATAGTACAATAGTATTCCATTACATTCATATACCACAACTTATTCAGCCATTCCACACTTGATGGGCATTTCCTCAGTTTCCATTTCTTTGCCACCACTAAAAGAGCTGCTATAAATATTTTTGTTCATGTGAGTCCTTTTCCCTTTTTTATGATGTCTTTGGGATACCGACCTAGTAGTGGCATTGCTGGATCAAAGAGTATGCACAGTTTGATTGTCCTTTGGGCATAGTTTCAAATTGTTCTCCAGAATGGTTGAATCAGTTCACAACTCCACCAACAATGCATCAGTGACTCAGTTTTCCCACATCTTCAACATTTATCATTTTCCTTTTCTGTCATATAAGCCAATCTGATATGAAGTGGTATCTCAGAATTGTCTTAATTTGCATTTCTCTAATCAATAGTGATTAAGAGCATTTTTTTATGTGACTCTAGATAGCTTTAAATTTTTCATCTGAAAACTGCTTGTTCATATCCTTTGACCATTTATCAATTGGTCATGTAGTTATTTTAAATGGAATATCTCTTTCTTTCTCTTCCTCATATCTTTTGTTGGTAATACACAGAAATGTTAATGATACTTGTAGCTTTATTTTATATCTTTCCACTTTGCTGAAGTTG